TTACTGTATAATATGTTTGTGTGTGTTGTATGTGTGTAGCAACTTTACTTGATGGTCATAGCATTTTGGCAGATACAGATTTTGTGTACCTAGGGTTACCTTCAGATTGAACTGTGGCATCTACCCAGTCAAAGTCTCATGCTTCAGACTTGTCTTCTGGGAAGCCTCTTACTTAAGTGTTTCTAAAAGTAGTTCAGTGGTAGAGTATTGGTATAACAGATATGACACTCCTGGGTTGACCCCAGCTTGTAAAAGTAGACAAAATCCCAAAACTACCAAGAAAACAAATAAACACCTCTAACAACAAGAAAATAACCTTATAAAAGAGTGACAAGGGAAAGAAAGTAGACCGAGTAAGCTTGGGGAATGATTTTAGGGTGGAATGGCTTCTGAATGCAATTATGTCATTATGTAACAGAATTGCAGAATTCATTCAGTTGGAATGGAACATGCACCAAGTAGCTACTTTGTAATTGCTTCTCTGACACTGGGAAGAGGAAAAATGTGTGTGTGTGTGTGTGTGTGTGTGTGTGTGTGTAGAAAGTCTTACTTTACTTTTATGGTGTTAATGTATACTAATGAAACACTTCACCTCTTCTGGTAGAATGGTGAGTTTGACTCACTAGGTGAAGGCCTGGGAGCTGTGGAGTACGCTTGTACCATTAAAAGACCCAAAGCTCATCATAATCATTGGTTAGTAAAGAGTATAAGAAGCTTATTTAACATGTTGAAAGAATTAGAGATATTTGGAGGTCAAGTCTGTGTTGCTATTATAGAAAAGGACATGCTACAGATCAGGGATGTTTTATGAGATTCAGTGGGTCATGGAAATGACATGTGAATGTGTTGGAAGTGTAATCTGATAGATTCCCCTAGTGATAGTTTAAGTGTTCAGCATGCAGGGAAGGAAGGAAGCCTCAACCCTTTCCAGATGTAAATGATTCAATTTTCAGAATGTCCTACTGTATGTAATTTCTAATTAGCTAAATGAAGACTAGAACTTCCCATTCCTTTAAGACAGTCTTTGATAGGGAAAATAGCTAAGTCTAGGAGAATTAGGTCTTATCCCCACCTAGAGTTAAAATGAGGATTCCATATGGAAAAAGCACACAACTTCAAAGAAAGCCATGCTTTTCCAACGGTAGAACATGGTACCATTCACCCCACACACAATTTTGTTCTCAAGGCATTCATTAAGCTGTTCTGATGCATGAGTCATGGTACTGAGTACTGATGGTGTAAAGATGAACAAACTTCCATTCTTCATCTACCCTGCATAAACCGAGTGCTATAAAAGAGGAATAAACAAGGCTCTGAGCAGAAGAGGAAGCATTTGAATGTTCCTAATGAAGCCAGAAAATGTCTTCCCAAAGAAAGTACCCTTGGAGCAGAGTTTTGAATAATGAATTAGTTAATAAATTTTATTAGTTTAATAAGAAGATAGAAGAGTGGTAAGCAGCTAGACTAGGCATTCCATATACCAGGGTGTGGTGCAACATGGCTTTCAAAGATTGGTAGAAACAGAAACTCCAGAAAGGCATGTGCGTCTTACTTTTCAGTTTGTTGTTCAGCCTGTAGAGATTGGTGGCTTTGGGGAAGACGGAAGGGTTGGGCAATCCCAGAGAATGGAGGATCAGCTGGACATTCATCATAGTCATTTTGACGAAAATGACAGGAGTCTGGGATTCAAGCAGAGGGCCAGTATGGAGTTAGTTTCAGTTTTCTGACTTTGTGGAACATTGTTTCATAAAATTAAGGAGGACCAAACTATTCCTTCATTGTGCATGTGTTATATGTGTGTGTTTGTGTACATGTGTATGTCACACATATGTCACAATTATGTGTGTGGAGGTCAGAGGATAACTTGTAGCGGTCAGTTCTTTCCTTCCACCACGAGGCTTCTGGGCTCTAACTCAGGTTAGAACCTAGACCTGCTGAGGCATCTTGCCAACCGAAGGATTATTTTTTGGGAAGGGAATGACGGGTTTTGTTTTAGACATTTTAAATTTGAGATTCGTATGGTGTTTACCATGAAGTAAAACATGCTTGGTGTTCAGGAGAAAGATTTGTTATAGATATTCAACAATGTGCAGAGCATTTTGGAACAATGAATATGAACAAGATTGCTTAGGGTCAGTTCTTCACAGCAGAGGATGAGCAAATGTGACAGGGAATCCACACAACTGAAATAGAGAGGGGGATGTCAGAGGTTGGAAAGGGGAGGGAAAGGAAGATGGAGAGAGAGAGAGAGAGAGAGAGAGAGAGAGAGAGAGAGAGAGAGAGAGAG